AATAAAAATAAAGATCTACTAACTTAAACTATACGCTAAACGTGTGCTAATGCTCTTCTTCGTTAGTGATGAAATTTGTAAAGCTTTTTTATAATAAACCTAATTTAATATAGTACACCACTGCCAACTATATGACCTTCTTATAGCATACAATTTAGTTGACACCAAACTTAATACATTTTTATAATTTTCATTGAATACAATGTTACTTAATTCACGTCATTAATTTATTATTTCTGGAGTATATATATATAATTTTTACGATTAGCAAAGCCAAGGAGGGGTTCCTTCCTCCTGCGTGAGGAGCTCATTGTTGTCGGGGGGGGGGGGGGGGGGTCTGGCTGGCAGTGTTGCTACCAGTGTTTCCAGGAGACCTCGGGTCTTTTGTGCCTAAACTGACCCCCCCCCCTCCCCGGTGGTGGTTTTTAGCGGTTTTTTACCACACTAGGCTGAATGGCAGGAGCTCGGGCCCCAATATTTTTCAATTTTTCAGTCCTTCGGGATAGTCATTGTAGCTCTATAAAGAGTACACTGGAGGGCACGCGTGCTCCACACCCGCAGAAAGGGGAATTCAGGTTATGCGGCTTAAGATCTTAGTAAGAAGACCAGCCCGTAGGATGCCGGTGCTAAAAGAAAATAGCAGTGGGTTTTTTTCCGCTTGCTATTGCTCTCTGAGTGTTTTAGTCTACGGCCTGGCAATTTAAAAAAGGATCGTATAGGTTAGGTTTAAAAAAAACCTTGTAGACAGTCTTTACTTAAAACTCATAAATATTTCAACAATCACATATGCTTAATATAAAGTTTAAATGTATATAAAGGGTTAAGGAGATTTTAATATAGCTCAATATCTAGCCCTCTCACTTTAGCACAGGATAGAGTTCAGAAAATTTTCAATATTTTTTCGCAACGAAACAAACTGATACAATGAAATATAATTAGAAATGAAAATTCACTCTCCAGCACCCACCTAAAAATTAATAATAATTTCAAGTTGCGGTTTTAAGAACAACTCTGAACCTTCAAAAAATATAATCCGCTTTTCTTTATAATTAAATACAATGCATTACAAATCACATGAGCTTCCCATAATTTAGTATTGCAAATTAAGTTTACTACTAAGTACGCCTTAAGGGTCGTGGCCGTTAAGCGGGCCGGAGCGTTGATAACCAAACGTGAGTTCAAGTTTTATTTAAGCTTCTCAATTTTTGATAACTGCATGTTTAATATAGCTTTCATTTTGACTTTTATAGAAAATTAAGGAGGTATTTTACTAGTTGTATGTATTAAAAGTCAAATTGTGCTACTAAGGCGGCTCGAGAACTGTTAATTAAATTATTAAGTACTTTTTGCATACTATGTTCTTAGTAGTTTATTATAAACTGTTAAACTTATAAAAACATTTAATTTTTAAAGTTTCTATAATTAGATCATCATAAAAAATTTTAACGGACATTAAATAAAACCATTTAAAACTTTATTGAGCACGTGTTATAAAACTAAAATCAAATTATAATATTGACTGAAAACACAATAAGGAACCTGCTAATTGATAATTATATAAAATTATTGATTAACTTAAGGTAAAGATTTTGGATAGCAGATATTGAAAAATTAGTTTAAATAGAATGAGCCTTTAAACTAATGTAATTTTAATACTTCGCAATGCTAGAACCTACCCACCTTTATAGACATAATGTTAAGTTTCCCACCACCCCATGAGTGAAATGCACAATCTTAAGGAGACTGGGAATTCATTTATTAAACTATTACAACGTAAACACCCTCATATCTTTAAAAGTAATTTCTAAATTAAATTTTGCTTCATCATATTTAATTTAGATTCAATACTCTTACACACACGCGGTAGAGCGTTAGACTTATGCTAGATTGTGCAACGATGAGAAGGGAAAATATTAAATGTAATATATATCAAACACATAACAAAAATTTTATATATTTACTTATTAAATAATGTTTCGCACAAAAATACAAAATTTTTAACTACTTAAAAAAAACAAACTTTCTTAAATTTAGAAATTTCACACGTTCCTTATTAAATTAGAGTTTCATTTGCGTTTGCGTTGAAATTTTATAGCAGTTATCTACTTTTATTTCAGAGCTAGAAATTTTATAACTTATTTTGCGGTTTGAAGGCTAAACAAAATAAGTTATTTAATAATATTGTCATTTACACGTTATAGTATGCCTAGCTTTTAATATTGAAGTGACTTTAATTTATTTTTATTATAAAAAATATTCAACCCGGTTTACTTACTTGACTTTAAGTTCTTCTTCAAGTAATTTATGTTTTAAAATTATTTAGGCTACTTGAGAACTCTAGTTAACTCGTATTTATTTTTTTTTCAAGCTTTTCTGATAGCTTAACTATATTAAATTATCGGATTACTCGTGTAAAATATTATGAATGCCAACAACTTTTCGCTTAATAATTTAAATTAAGGTTATAAATCAAGTGTTTCTCGCTAACATTAAACATATATACTATTTACTCGCTTATATAGTGCAAGCATTCAGAGTTTTTCAACGTCGGAAATTTAATTTAATATTTTTGAAATTTTTTTTTTTTAGCTTGTGGTTATTATCTTGTCACATCAAAAGAATCAGCTTTACCGAAAACGGAGAGTAATAGTAGATGGTCAGTCGAAAATTGGGGGGCTCTGTTTTATTTTAATTTTTAGTCTTAAGGCTTTTACTGAGATCGTAGAGTAAACTTAGACTCTACTTTGCTAAGAGTTTTCAACTTATAAAAGGCAAAAAAGGATATACGATAGCAAGTGCTATTCACGAAATCCCCTGTTTACAACTATCTTTTTTAAGGGTTAAGTTTTAAATTCGTCATCTCCTATAACCGCTTCAAGTTGCTATTACTTAAACACTGAATAAGTAAAGTATTTATATTTATACTGGATTTCTCATAAAAATTGTAGAGGTTTCAAATCAACAAAGGATAAAAAAATATTTTTGCGTAAAAATGGAAGAAATTTTTTAATATTAGTTCTTAAGTAAAGTTGGATTCTCTATTAAGATAACGGTATTTTACTGGGAAAAGACGTGGAAAGTTGACACTAATAAGCCATGTCATAAAAGTATACGTCGGTGTCCACTGCGCATCTTTTTCATTACTATTTGATGTATATGACTAAGATTAGTTTATTTGATTAATTTATATTAAAATTAAAATTTTACTATGCTAATATAATATGTATTATTGTTATTTTTTATATTTCTACTGCTTCTTTCTTTTTTTTTTTGCTGTGACGGTAAAGCGCATCCATACTCTTTGCGGTTGTAAAACAAGCCTATGGCTTGACCATAAGTCTCTCGTGCACACTGGCTCGACGCGAGGCAATTCGTTTACTTCTGCGTATAGGAACCTCAGCTGTACCTGGGGTTGAGCTTTAAGAAGGTATAATAGCAGACCGAGCGTATTAAATGGCGCAATAACATTGGTACATTTCCCGCGGTGGCCGTAGTAGGGGCACATACCGGTTTGTGGGAGAAGAGGACATAAGCTCGTGGGGAGGTTCATCCTCAGTGCTGAGTTTGTACTGTATCCGATTGCTATATATTCCGCAAACGTACAACACTTACCAAGTCAAGCGTTACTGATCCCACTGGTGGATTCGGTGTATATTTGTATACAACGGTCTCAACATATGTTACCGCAGAATTTTCTAATATTTTTGAAGACCCAGATATTGTTATCTCCGTTCCAGAGTGATAAATAATCTTTTAATGCTTCTATCCCAAGCTTTTCAAGCAGAGTATAATTCAAAGTATAAGCTCTCGTTCCCAAAACGATTAATCTCGGTAAAAAGAAAGCTTGTCTCGTGGGTAAGAATTACAAATAGCTTAAAAATAGTTGTAAAGCCAACTTGACTTGAGCTGGAGGAATGCAAATAATTCAAAAAGAAAGGAAAAATAAATCCAAAAAAAGATTTATAACACTTTCAATAACTTAAATTAAAAAATCACAAGTCGCAAAAGAATGAAAAAATTAAGGTTTTCACCTGTAATTTTTATTGTTAAAGGCTATAATATTAGGATTAATTTATAAATACCGTTTTTGTGTTTCTTTACGTTAAATATAATTTTTCTTGAAAGGAATACAACCATCTTCTAAATCTAAAAAATTAAAAAAATAAAAATAACTCGTAAAGTTTCAAGTGGATAACCAATCGATGTACTGGTTACATTATACTCTAGTATTAGCTATTATAGATAACAAAAAAAATAGAATCAAAATTATCAAAATTACATCTAGCTCTATGCATCAACTAAAACCCCAAGTATTAACATATTAAAAAAAAAAGAAAAGAGAGCTCCTGAGAAGGAGCCTACGCAGTCAAAAAAAAAAAAAAGATAATTTCACGTGTAAGAGTAAACGTTTCTGGGTCCGTAAAAAAATTAATAGTACCAAATTGTTCTATTTTAAAGTTCGGGAATGTTTAAGATTTTAATACTTTGTTTTTAGGTACAGTTTTTTTGAAAAAATAAACATTACTATAATAAAATGGCATTATCTTAGTATATTACTTATTTCTAACATATAATTTATAGAATAGTATTTTTAGCAGAAAAGGGAGCTTCTGCGAGGAAGAGCCCACGCAAGTCAAAAAAAAAAAGACAAATTCACGTGTAAAAGTAAACGTTTCTGGGGCCGTAGAAAATTTAACAGGTACCAAATTGTTCGGTTTAAAAGTTCGGGAATATTCAGGATTTTAATACTTTATTTTTACGTACAGTTTCTATTAAAAAAAAAACAAACATTACAACAATAAAATTGCATTACCTAGGTATATTACTTTATTTTTAACATTTACTTTATAGAATAGTATTTTTAGCTGACGTATAATGATAATTTATTTCTTTTACTTCTTTCAAACATGCTTTAATTTTTTTAAAAAAATATAAATACCTACCCCCATTTTACTTTGCTTCTTCCATGTGTTTTTTTTTGTCCTCCGGGTGCTGTGCTTTCTTCCCCCGGCAGCATTTTGGGAAAAGTAGGAAACTTTAATTTTGGTTACTTAACTCAGTTGAGGCGAGAAGTAAATTTTGTCAAAGACAATGTCTGTGTTTAAGTAGCATTGGTAATTTTTGATTTCTTGAAGTATTTATTTTTTTTTCTCCCTTAGCGCTATGAACGAGTTGTTATTTTACACATTCGCAGTTTCCACTGTAAGCTATTTACGGCCTGCGCCTGTAATAGCTAGTGACAGTCGCCTCCGTAGTCTGAGCGCTAATATTTAAAATACAGTTTTTGTATAGTCTTTTATAATATTAACTTCTTTTAATTGTATAAAGTGAATTCAAGTTTCTGCTTTTGGAGGAAGGCTGGCCTACCCTTGAAATCTTTAAATTTTTTAATTTTTTTAAACGGTGTGTCTCTTTATTAACTATTATATTTATTACTAACCTGATGACCTTTACTTCTTTCTAATGACGCCAATGATTATAACAACCGCGTTTTATTTCAAGCCAAAATTTAGTCTGATGCTAATATTATACCTATCGCCTTTTCCTTATTGTCCATTTCTCATGTTTTTTTTCTCTAGGCTTATAGTTCTCGCGTTTACTTGACTTTATTGAACTTATCGGTAATTTTATTTTATATATAACTTGTGTGGCGCAGTGATTGAGAAACTTTTAACACATTCGCAGTTTCCACTGTAAACTATTTTTTGTTTGCGCTTGAAATAGTTTATGACAGCTACCTCCGTAGTCTGAGCGCTTTAGTCTTATATTTTATATATTCGTCTATTAAATTATTCTCCTTTACTTACACGCTTTTATAATAGAGTCTTTGAAAGATTTTGCATTCCTGAAACTATTTAATAAGGTGTAAGAGAACGAATAAAATAATCTTTACTACTTTTTTCCCTTCTTTTTAAAAATCTTTTCTATTTTGTGATTTTAAAGACTAATATAAGAAAGCTTTCGAGAAAAAAAAGTCCATTTCTTTCGTTTAAAGATGCAAGATCTAAGTATCAGGGAGTCGTGGTGGATTGCGAATAAAGAAAAGCTTAATTAGTTTTAGATCTTTATAAAACTGCTAATCTTTGGTGTCATTTATTTTCCATTCAAAATAGCGTATCCTTCCTGCTTTATTGAAACTAATAAAAATTCGCAAGTTTTTTCAGAGACACACTTTATGATATACTTATTACCGACTGCTTCTCTACGGTTGAGGCTACAATGTCTTCAATGTTAGCGACATAAATTTAATTCTCCCTTCCTAATATATTAGATTTATATATTTTTTAAGTTCTAGGGGCGGGTAGTTCTACGGTACCACCCTATGACCGTAAGCTTCTTCAAGTATAGGAAGCGCCCACTGCATTCTTAAGAGTTACATACATATAGTTAATATAAAAGGAAAAAAATAAAACTAATAAAGGCTTAGGGCGGGTGTGGGGGATAGACGCCACTAGGAGCTTGTAATAAGAATGAGGCTAAGCCAAAACTAGGTTAAAGCTATACACAAGAGCTTGAAATAGGACTAGAATTTTTTCAATCTGGATACCGAAAATGAGCCCGAGAGAAGTGAGAAAAAGGTGCTTTATTGTAGAGCGGACAACAGAATTAGACCCCTATTTGTTATAACTTTTCCTGAGAATCGATCAAAACAACTTCGGATATCCGAGCTCTTTTTCCTAGCCCTGGCGTACACTAGGCCGGTTTCTTAAGGCCTTAGCCGCTTAATCTGTGTGCTCTTCTTCTGCAGGGATTGGAGCACCAGTGCCCAGCAGTGTACACTCTTTATAGAGCTATACTGAAGGCCTCGAAGGGCTGAAGAAGTAGATAGTATCGGAGCTCGGACTACCGCCATTCAGCTTAGCTTGGTGGCTAAAAACCGTCAGGGGGAGAGGAGTTAGGCACAAGACCAGCACCACTGCCAGACACCCCCCCCTCTTATCCCCGCCGGTTATGAGCTCCTCCCACTCAGTCTCTTGAATGAATCCCCAGATAAACTAAATACTAGTCTTAAACCAATAGCCGGCTCATTCTAGATATATACTAGGTAATAGTACTATTTCCTATGGTACCTATATTATGTATACTTATATTCTATATAGTATAGGTACTACTGTCATCACCGGCGAGGCCAATAAAAGTGTGCTAAAGTTATCTAAATTTTTCACCTTGTCAATTCAATCTTCCCCTGCGCGTAGTCGAGGTTAAACTGTCACGCCTATAGCCAGGATGTTTAATAAGAGAAGAAGTAGGCCTGTCGTCATGCCCAGCAACTTGATTAGGTGCACCCTAGTGCGGACGCGCGTATTTCGTTTTTGACGAAAGTAAAATATACAACTGTTTGTTGCGCAGTAAAAGCTTGCGTTTGCTACATAGTAAAATGCAAAACAGCTTAGACGCAGTCTGGGACTGAACCCCGTGCGACCGCCACAAGAAATTTGTTGATGACTTTCAACTATCTCACTGGAAAGAATTACGTGATGTTTAATACCGTCAGAGGTTAATAGTGGCGCCTATAAAGGGACACTTTCTTCGCTATTAAATGTGGGAGAAAAGATTTCTGTGGGACCTTGCTACCAGAGATTATACAGCGGTAGTCAGACCTTTACTTAACCGCAAGTAAAATTATGAATTATATAAAAATGCATTCGTCGCAACTAAAATTAATTCGACCAAGTAACATAAAGCTGAAAGAGCATGCTAGGTCATAGCATTTATTCACTAATATTTTTCCGAGTTTTTTATAAATATAATATAGAAAATATAGGGATATAAAAAAAAGTTTTAGGGAACAATAATAATATAAATTATAAATAAAGAAATTAAAAAAAGTATTTTAACAGCTTTTTTATGTATGAAAATTAATTTGTCCTAAAAAGACTCGTAGTACTATTTTAGTCCTTTATTGACCATTTTCGTGTATTAGGGGCGAGGTGATATAAGTAATTTTCTTTTTTGCTTGTGCCTTAGAGTTACAAACTCTGAATGTTTTGCAAGACCAAGGGTTTTCCACGAGCAAGTTAAATAAACTAACCACCTATATGTGCTCTTATAACACATTTAAAAAAAAAACATTCCCTTGGATTCATGATGCAAAGAATAAATCAGGATTGGGTGGGTAATCATGTAAATACTTGATCGGCCCTTCTGAGAACTCGGTCCCCAGCAGCCCCCATGTGGAGGTTTCTGCAAAAACCATAGTCCAGCATAAGGACATTGGCCATTGGGCAGGTATAAAAAAATTAAATTCTAACATTCTTATAAAATTAAACATACAAATTTGCGGTACAAACAGTGAGATATGTTTGAGCGATATAACTGGTCACCAGAACATATTAGAACTTTTACGCAGTGTTTAATAATTTTTTATCTACTGTTCATTCTTCCGTGAGCGATAGTTTATATTCGTAGAGCAAAGTTTTTTTTTCCTCTTGCTCTTTTCTTCCTATTTTCTGTGGTTCAGAAGCTTGCTACCAAGCTGTACTCAGCGTAGAGTGAACTAAACAAATGTAGTTTGTTTTTTTAATAGCCTATTTTAATATAAAAAATTTATTATATTATATGCTATATACAGGACATAATCATACTTTTAACCATACTTCAGAGAACTTAATCAAAACATGCATTTCTTTTTTTCAAAAATAAACCCAGTTAACAATGATCTTTAATACAATTAATTATAGTCTGGGCTTACAATCTTTACATTATTTTAGCTATAACTGTAGATGAAAATGGAGGCTTTTTATACGAAGTCGTATTAAAGTATTCCTTGGATCTCGCAGTCGGGAAGGCCTGACTAGCGTTTTACTGACAGGTAGGCTTTTCTTCCGGTATTGATAGTTAGCGTTGTGATGCATCGCGGGGGCCCGGGCCCGTATTTTCCGCTTTTTTCTAGTCCAACACAGCCATTGACTAAGCAATAAGGATTTTTCGTAAACTTGTCCGTAGAATGTCTGTGCAGTAAAAATAAAGCCCCTGGAAACCTACTCGGAGGCCCTACCCTGGTAATAACCCTGGACGGTGTCTTCAATAGGATCCAAGTTTGGTGGTGGAGGTCGCCTCTTAGGTGGTGTCTACTTTTTTTAAGATCTCTAAGTTTTTGGGAATACTCTGTGGACCATTGCACCCCTTGCTTAATGAAGGAAATACAGCTTAAGCGGTTTAAGAATTTTTTTTTAATAAAAGATCGATTATATCATGCTAGTGCTAAGAAAAGGGTGGCAACCCTTTTAGCCCCTTTCCTTCCTGTTCTTTTTTAATTTTATCAGATCTTGTCTTTATTATTAGTTTAATATGATTTTTTTGTTTATTTTCCTATATTTCAAAGAATTCTTCTGTATTTATAAGTATGAACAATATTTAACGAAACAGTTTGCAGGGTTCTCTAGCACAAGTTCACCAGAGTACTTCCCAATAGTATTCAACTTCAAGAAATAATTCGTCTACGTTCAATATTAACTTTGAACAACTTTGAACGTACAAAGAATACATGACCTTTTTTTATCACTTAAGAAAACGGCGAAAGAGATAATAAAGACTAAGGAATTCAGCTATAAACTACTTAGGACTTTGAATGTGTATGAGCTATATTTATAACATAAAGAGTACACTGAAAGTCACCCAGAAAAAAACTTAGCGTTAAAAAAAAATTCTTAAGCGTAAGTCTTTGACCGAAGTTTTGCCTGAACCGCAAGAACTATGTACTTCTAAACAACTGATTTCAACAACAAGTTAATAGACTTGAACATAGCTCACCTCACTAATTTTAAAGATTTTCGCACAATTAAAACATAATACAGTAATGCTCTATAACTATTTTATAGAAAAATTTGAAGTAAGCACACTTAAGTAAAATCTACTTTAACATATCTTTTAAAAAACCTCTACATTTATACAAAGGATAGAGCGATCACTACGTAGGAATGTAAGCTTTAAAGCAGCAACGAAATTCTATCTCTCTAATCTTTTAATAAAACTACATTTGTAATTACAAATTCTATATTTAACTCTTCTGCCTTTTTATAAATGACAAGGAATTACTAAACTTCGATTCAAACTCTCACAAACTGATTATATAAATTCCTCAGATTATAGAAATTTAATTTTAACCCACAGTTTAGGCCAAAACTAACTGTAAGAAAACTTAATGAGAGTGGATACACCGCTGTATATAAAACTAAACAGTTTTTAGTAAGGTGAACAGTCATTTGTTGCACTAGCCCATTTAGTGACTAACATATTCAGTTTTACATATCCCCCGTAGCAAGCAAAACTGTTAATCATTTTTAACAAACCAACTTTCATTGTTGACTGCTATATTTGTACAATCTATATAAAGGGTAAATAAGGTTAGTCGACGTAATGCGCTCTAAAACCTGGCAAATCTACCCACTATGTTTGTTGACACCATATGATTTAAATTCTTTAACTGACTTTTAATATCTCATTAAAACTAAAGCTACATAAGAATATGTTGCAATGCCACCCTTTAAAAGAAGAAACAACTGGATCTAGGTAAATGCCATATCAAAGGATACTGACACCAATTTTGCAATCTGTATTGAAAAAATTAGGTCAGACTTACGCAACGTAAGTATTATTGAGCTTTTCAAAAAAAATTAAAGCGACAAGGGACACCACAATATATGTCCAGTAAAGTTTTTTTCAAATGGCTATGTAAATTGACAGGATGTTTACTCAAACAGTCTTTCTATCTCTTAAATATGTAACAATTCGTAAAACTGCTTAACAACTTCTGGTTACGCGACAGCACTAACACAGTTAATTATATGGAAAGACAGCAATTGCCACTTGACTGCAAAGTATGTTATATGATTCTGGAAACAAAAGAAAATTACAGGATAGAGCGCTAGGAGTAATA